AAAATCCTTGCTTGACTTTAAAATCCAGTTGCTTAAAATAAAAAACTGTTCCCTGAAAAATCAGAATACCTAATCGCAAATTTATTTGTTTGTTCTGTAAAGGGGAAGGATGGTGGGGAAGATAGAAAGTTCATGGCTGAAACAGGAAAGCAGAAGATGAACTCATCATTTGTCCAAAGGCACTCAGCTGCTAAAAGGAGTCATACTTTTAAGGGCTGTTGAGGAGGGAGCAAGTCAGGACGTTTCCAGTCCAAGATTGCGGGGAAATCAGACACAGGTTAGTCACACGAGTCGCTCAACTGTCCGTGTACCCTGAGCCCACGACTTCAAGGCTCTGCAGCTTCGTCCTTCACGGCACCAAACCTTGACGTTAGGGATGCAAAGACACACTCATAAGAATCAGGGGTTTGTTGTTCTTACTCGAAATCTGGGGGACTGGCTGAAAACAAAACAAAACAGGGACACCTCATCCCTAAGTGAGAGGGAATCTGCGTTCACTGTCACTTAAATCAACACACAAAGTATGTAAACGCGATACAGCACGGAAGAGCATCAAGGCCAAACGTTTCAAATAAGATTAAACTAAACTGTCAAGAGAACCAAATGGCTTTCACCACCGTGAAGAAAAGAATCTGAGAGCAGGGACTGTCTCTTCATGTAGAGAGGTTGGTATATCTTTTGCCACGGTTGGTTTAGTAGTAAGTTACTGAGAATGTGGGGCTGTGATGAAACTCCCCAGGAGTGCCACGTAAAGTCAGGGAAACCTTATGAGTCGTGGAAGGAACAAACGTGGGAAGCCCTGGGAAAGCCTGAGGCTGCTCCATGGCTGTCCCTGCAGCGCAGGGCCGTCAGCTTCACCGTGGGGCTCACCAGAGGCCCTTTTAGCGGAGCTTTTCTTGGTGTCCACGTTGCGTTTCTGTCACGTGGATGAGCCGGGTGAAAGCCAGACCCTTTCCTCTGATTCAGGTTTGCCGTTTTTAAAAGGATACCATCAGACTTGGTGACAGGGGTGGCTAAAAGAAAGAACTTCTGTTTTTGAAGACTGGTGATGAGGGAAAGGAAGCTTGCTTTTCCGTGGATAGAGACCCTTCCTCCCACACTTAACCCCTTTTGATTGTTGCCGAATAGCTTGGTCCAGGGAAAGGGGAGAAGACGAACGAGCGGAATAAGGCCAGAGCTGGCTGCGGCCAGGAAAAACACACTGTGAGTCAGCTAATTGGTTCTGTTAATGTCAAAGGCTGTGATGCCCAATTAGCTAATTTCAAGAAGCTGTAGCTGAAAATAGCTACCTCAGCCCTAAAGTTGGCGTTTGGTGAAGATTAGGATCTTCAAGTAAGAGAAGAGGGGCCCCTAAGGGGGCACGGATGTCTGTTTAAGATCATCCTGCTAAACGAGGACTCGACTGGCTGGGATTTTCCAACTGGGTTTCAGCCCCTTTCAGAGAGGTTGATGGAGGTGAGAGAGGAGGGGGCACTCCAAACATTCTGGCAACAGAAAATGTTCCCCAAAGCAGATTTGAGTCCACTCAGCTTCCTAATGGCAGGAGCAGCCATGCTGGTAAGTCTCTTTAGGGTAGAGAGGCTCCCCGAGTTCAGGTGGAATTAATTAAAACAGGCATGCAGTTTGCAGTACTTCTAGCTCCCTCACTGAAAGGCTCATGCACATAAACCAGCACAGTTTGAGCAGCTGGGAAAAACTGGGCCAGAAGTGACTCCACCAGCTTCTCTCCTTCCTCTTCCTCTACATTGGAATGCAAAGATATAATAATAATAATTTTTTAAAAAAGGCAGAAGGCTCATGGTTTCTGTACAACTGTGAGTGCTTTCATTACATCTGAGTAGGGTTACAATAAATACGTGCTCTTACAATTGAAGAGCATAACTTGCTAACGAAATTGCAAATTATCCAGAAGAAAGCTGTGCCCAGGCACGTGCCGAATGCAAGAGTCTCCTGCCTCTGAAAGTTCAGTTTTTTTGGCCTTTGTGATATTAAAGTCCGACAGGGAGCCGGCGGGACACTCCTTGTGCTGTCTTGTCACGTTATGAGTTTCTGGTTTCAGATACAAGGGGAGAAAGGGCTCTTAAGAAAGCAAAGAACTGGGGGAAACAATTCAACTTCCTTCTTGGAAAGCTAAGGGCTGTTTTTCTGGAGATGATGGATACTGGCATTTCGAATGTTTTTCATTTTTAATAGAGAAAATGGAGGCAAATCGTGGAGGGAACAGAGAACATATAAATAAAGAGAACAAGGTGAAGTTTCAACAAGAGCTTTCCTCAACTTTTTCTTTCCTTCCTTCTATCTTTGTCTCTCTTTCTTTTCTTCCTTTTTTTTTTTTTTTTTGAAATCTTAAACCCCATTTCTGGCTTGCATTTGGTAGGATTCCTGCTCTGGCTTTTATTAAAAACAGACTTTATGTGGTCAGAATTCTCCATCTAAAGCTAAACTTTAATAGGCATAAGGATTCTGACAGAGTCTTTCTTGCTCTCTCTCAGGTGACACCCCCCCACCGCCAGTCCCCCGAGGGATTTCCCTCCCCACGGGCTGCACTGGCGCTGAAACTTCAAGGCTCAGCACAAAACAACCAACTTTCCTCTTTCACTCTGAACCCTCGTTTCTGTTTTACATTTGAGACTCTTTGCAAGGCCAGACCAAGTTAAGTCTAGCTCTAACTTGGGAATGCTCTAGAAATTCTGAATAACACAACTGCTGTCCTATAAATTCCCCAAGGCAGACGCCTTGAACCCGGTGGCTTCCCTCCTCCAGCACCGGCTCTGGAGCCGGACTCCTGCCGGCTACCTTCTGTGTGTGAGCTCGGAAAGACCCCGGGCGATGCCACCCGGCTTCGCAAGTCAGTTTAGCATCCAACAGCATCTCGGGAGGGTACTGGCAGACAGTTTATAGGAAACGAAGAGGTAAAGCAGCCAAGCAAGCAGGCAGAGACATGCACGTTCGTTCCTGAGGACAGGCACCACTGGGGCTGCTCTGGTTCTTTCTTAGAGCTAAACAGACAAAATAGCCCACTTCCAGTCTCTGGTGTGCGACCCCTGCCTTCCCACTCTCCACGCCCTCCCCCAGTGGCCTCTATGCCTTCTTGGCACAATGGTGGATATGCTTTCCCAGTCAATCTGAAGTTTCCTAAAGCAAAATTTAATCTTGCTTGTAGTGAGGCTCAACGCTGACATTTATGCTTGTTGCCATGGAAAGGAGTCTTTTGAATGCTGCAGTGCAGTGGTCCTCAGGGGAGGGAGATTTAACACCCGTCACCCCCCAGCAGTGTCTGGAGACATTTTTAGTGGTCAAACTCGGGGACGGCAACTAACACCCAGTGGGTGGAGGCCAGGATGCTGTTAAACATCCCAGTCCTAAAATGCACACATAGCCCCCACAACAAAAATGTCAGTAATGTGGAGGCTGAGAAAGCCTGATATTATGGTCAGGAGAATCGGCTCTGGAGTCAGAGAGCTTGGAATTCAGGCCCAGCTCCACTGGGGCCTGGCTGAGCAGCCTTGGGCAAGCTGCTTAACTTCTGTGCCTCGACTGTAAAATGGACAATAACCCATCTCATGAGCTCGCTGTGAGTATGCAACAAATACGTATCCGCAAAGCCCTTAGGACTGTGCCTCAAATATAGTGAGAGCTCAATAAATATTAGCTATTGTTTTTACTATTATGACTAGAGATTTAGCTCAGTTCCAAATACATAAACCAAACCTATTGAGGTTAGAGAGAAAAATGCACTGCTTTGATAGTACATATATCCTCTCTGATGGGGACCAAAATGATGATGCTTTACAATTTATCAGACTCTTTCAAATACGACTGCGAAAACAGCCCTGTTATGTCTTTATTTCATAGATGAGGAACTCATGGCTCAGTTAAAAGAGTTGCCCAAGTCAGGTCTTCTGATCCCACATCCCCTTCTCTTCCTGCTACACCTCCCTCTGCTTACTGGTTTAAGATGACCCTTCTCTTCATTACACCCAACAGCCTGAAGATCAAAACACACGAAGGCACCATAATCACAGAGTGAGGTAACTCAGGCTCCCTGGGTGGACAGAAGTCACCTCTCTCTTTATGGTGCGTGCATGCATAGTAAGGTTTTCCTTCATGGGGCATACAAACATTTTAATCTTCTGAACTGAACTAAAAATTTAACTTTCTGTTTGGGCTATTTTCTTTCCTTTTAAAATTTCTGATTAAAAAAACCCCTAATCCCTTTTATTTTAAAAATCCCTGATTATACACATTGTACATATACTGACTGTAAATGTATGAAGGTGAGAATGCAGCTTCAACCATATGTGTATATGTTTCAAGTTCCACTTATTTATTAGCTATTTGGTTTCACAATTAAGCCTGAAAATCTGCTTACAAATGCCTAAATGTATTATTTAAATGTAGAGTATTCTTAGTGTTCTTATTTTATATATGGTTAGTGACTGCACACAGCAATCATATTTCTATGCACAGTTTTTAAAAAAAATTGCAAATTAATCAGCTGGATTTTTAACTCAGCCTACATTAAAGTTAATAATATTGGGCTTAAGAGTCAAAGTTCAGAGGGCAGATGGATAATATTCCTGAAGTCAGCATTTTCTAGAATTCCTTTGGTAACAGTGAAGGCCAGGCCGTAGCTGGCGATGCTGTCCTGACCTAGGGAGTGCCCAGCTGGCAGCGGCTCAGCCAGGGTTCTTTCATTTCAAAGCCCCCAGTCAAATTCTACAAACAGCTGCCAAAGCGTCATTCACATGGACCCAGGCTTCTTTGGTCCTATTTGGTTTGTGCCAGTTGATAAAGAAGAGGTTTAGGCCACATATATTGGTTACTAAATGGTGTCACAGGCCCAGCAGTTTTCCCACGATCCCCCTCCCGGGTGAAAACTGCCAACGTGTATGAGAGTATCTTTGCCATTTTCTTTTCCAAATCAATTTTGTCTGTCTTGCTATGAGAAGAGAACCAAAGAGCATCCCCTGAATGTCGGCCGCGCGCGGAGCACTCACCTGGGGACGCTGGGAGGGGCCCTGGTGGGCCGCGAGGGCACCTGCGGAGGCGCCCCGAACGAGTCGCTGCTGTTGGGGAAAGGAGGTAACGGGCCGGGCCGGAATGGCACTGGGGGCGCCCCCGAGTGGGGTCCCGGGGAGGGGATGGCGGGCGCGGGCCCCCGGCCGGACGTGGACCGCGGGAGGGGCGCGCTCAGCGTCGGCCTCCTCTGGGTGGTGGGGCTAGGAGGCGGCGACCTGGAGAAAAAGACGACAGCTGTTTGCCCGGCCTCCTTTCCGCCGGAATTCATCCTTAAAAAATGTCTTATAACTGACTGCTTTTTGTTTGTTTGTTTGTATCGGGGGGAGGTAATTAGGTTTATTTACTCAGTTTTTTTAAAGTGGAGGTACATTGAACCCAGGACCTCGTGCATGCTAAGCATGTGCTCTACCACTGAGCTCTACCTCCCTGAACTGGCTGCTTTATAAGAAGCATTTTTTTTTTTTTTGCCTGAGTAGAAACTCAGATACATGTTAGGAATGTTAAAAGGTATAAAGGGTAAACGAGGAAAAGGAAGTTTCTCTTCCCAACCTTCTTACTCCGTGGAGATAGCCAATATCGTTTCTTGGGTACTCTTTTCAACTATATTTGATGACATTTTTCTCTATGTATATAAACTGCATTTTTTGTACACAACAGAACACAATGTTCTACAACTTCCTTTTTTTTCTTTAAGCTTCACGTTAATTGGACTGTCTTTTCATTTTGGCACTTAAAAGAACCTACTCTTTTTCATGACTATATAACATTCCATCGTAAGGCTATCGTGTGCTTGGTTTTGAAGGGAGCTGAGATCATCTGACCGTCTCTCAGGTTCCTGGACTTAACTATCTCTCTTTCTCTTTTTTTCTCTAGGTTCATATTGGTTTAGGGAAGCACATTCAGAAAATGATGCTGGACAAGCTTGGAGGCCTCAGGCAATGCAGGGCCATCTTCCTACCTGCGGGAATGCTGTATCCAGGAGTCGTCCACGGGAGGTGGTGCTGGCGTGAAGGTAGTGGCGGTGTTGATGTCTCCGATGATCACAAGGGCTTCTTTAAGCGCTTGGTACATTCGAAGCATCTCATCCCGGCGCTGAGCCTGTTCTGCAGATTCCTCCATCAGTGTATTTTGGTCCTCTGAAGAATATAGCTGTGCTAGGAGCTCAGAATTTATGAAATCTTTAACCTGTCAGGTCATCACAGAAAAGTAAAAAAATGGGAGTGAATGAGTGATTAAATGATAAACTGGTTCAGAGCCTGTGGACAAAATCCAAGAAAATCCACTCTGGGCAAAGGGACGCCTTGTATATCTGTTTACTCTTATTTTCTTCATCATCCTCCCAGTCTCAGTACTGGTGCCAGGAACGGTTTTCCCCTCTGTCGTATGGTTGTTGACATGAAAGAAAGACATAGATTTGTTGAAAAGAGGGCCAACCCCTGCCATCACCAGAACAGAGCCATTGGCTGGACGGGCATTTCCGCAATGTTATCTGAGGCTGCTTGGCTTAGAGACAAGGGAAGGCACCAGGAGGTAAGCAGCGGTATTTCCAACAGGAAACAATGGCATAAGGAAACCCATGTAAGAACATGAGGTATCCGTTCCCTGGTAGTCCCAGTCCTTGCCCTAGCTTTTACCAAAACCACTGGAATACTAAGGCCTTAGGTTTCAGTGTCATCTCAAAAGTGGAATTAGCACCATTAAGTGAATATTTATTAAATACAGAACCATGTATCATTACGCGAGTTGATTTACCAAAAAAAAAAAGTGATACACTCTTTGCTTTCTAGTTTTCAGTAGGAGCGTAACAGTGATGAGGACTGACATAAGGTTCCACAGTTCACAGACAGATGACAACAAACTAAACTATGAACAATTTGTAGACGTCTCAGGGGCGGGGCATCCTGCAACAGGGTAAGAATGGGGAGGATGCAGCCTGGAGGGAGAGATCACCCGTCACCGTATTTCATCAAATCTAAGACACATCACTCTTTTATGTGCCACCGAGAAAGCAAAGACACCATCAACTAAACTACACCAGAATGCCAAGATGTCACGGGTGTAACATGCATCTTCGTGTCAGAAATATTACAATTAAAAAAAAAATGTGAATGTGACAATGTGATTCCGAGTGCTTCACAAGTTATCTGACTTACTTCTCACTGCATGTTTATGAGACAGAGAGTATCACCCCAGTTTTACAGATGAAGGAACTGAAGTTCAGAGAGTTTAAGTAACGTGCCCAAAGACACACAACATTAAGTTGAACCCCAAATCCTCTGGCTTGAAGTCTAGGGCTCTTTCTGTTACTCCTATGCCTTACTTTGGGTGCTTAGGAAAGATAATTTACATTTAAACATTGTTTTAGAGTGGTGCACAAGTACAGCAATTAACTTAAGCCCAGAAAAATTAACCAGCTTGGCTCTTTCAGTTTCTCTGTTAAATGAGAAAGCTAATGCTTATCTAGAGACACTGGATCTCTCTAAGAAAGGTCCAAGGCCAGTGTATTTAATTGTTACAAATTCAGACAGACAATAGAACGCCTGTCAGATGCTCAAAATTTCTGAATTGTAGTTCAATTTGTAACTCAGAGATGACAAGACTGAAAAACACATAGCTTCACTATTTTTTTAAAGGTCTCAAACCATGTAAATAGATTTCCTAATCAGAAAGTTAAGCTTCACTGTGGTGAAATAAAAAGTTTTCTCTGCACATATTCTGTAAACCAGGAGTGAATCAAATGTGGATGTAATCTAATAAACAAGACGTATTCGGGCAACTGTCTGGTAGAGTAGGTTTATGTGCGATAGTTATGGAAGGTATATTTGGCCAGGTAACCTGGGGCCGATGTGAAGAGCTTGAATGCCAAGGAAAAGTGTTTGAACTTTATCCACTTGGCAATGGGGAGCCATGGAAGGCTTTTAAACAACTAAGTAAAATAATAAAAGAAGTTTTAGGAGAATCAATCTGGTTGTGATTTGAAAAGAATTTGCAAGAGTGGTAGCGGAGATTAAGAAATCTGTTCGAAGACCATCACAGATCATTTACGAGATGATAAGGGTTCAATTGAGCAAGGCTGCAGTGGAACAAAAAATACAGGCACGTATAAATGATATTAGAAAGGAAAAACCAACTGGACTTGCTGCTGTTTGGAGGTGAAGGGCAAGGAAGAAAAGAACAGAGACACTTCAAACATTGAGGTTTCGGTGAATGAGAGAAGAGAAAGTGAAAATCAAGGAAAGTCAGATTTAGAGCAAAGACAGTAAATTTGGCTTCAGGAATATTTCATTCCCCTCCTTGAAGATTTATTTGCTTCTAAACACACTTGCAGTTGCCCACGGAATCATGTACATTTGCACAAATCTTCCACTGTTAGGTGTGTGTCCGTACTTGGAGAGATGGTACAACTCCAAACTCAAAAACAGACAATTTTCCTGGCATTGACCATCAGTTGGGTTAAGCTCTTTTGAAGCTTTACATCTTCCTGGAGTATCACTTAGAATCTATTAAACACAATTTAAAAGAAGATCCTTCCAAGAATAGATTTAAAGCAGATCTGAATTAAGGAGCAACTGTCAAACAAACCACGGAATGAAACAATAAGAGCCCAGTTCAGCATTCTGATCAAAGATCTGCCTTGAATCAACTCTTCCATGTCAAAATGTTACACATGAAAATCTGCCTACTAGTCAAAAGATTTGGCAATGTTCTGAAATAACATGAATAATGTGAGCATGAGACAAAATGACAATATAGCACAGTGGTTATGGGCATATTCTTTGGAATCAGATAGCACTGAATTTGAGTGCTAGCTCTTAACACGTTTTTGGGGACAAATAACTTAACGTCTCAGTTTCAGATTCCTGATCTGTAAAACGAGGATCATGGTAGGAGCTGTCTCAAAAGTTGTTGCGAGCATTCAGTGATACTGAATATAAATTGTCTAGCATGATGTGGAGCACTGAGTCAGTGCTCCGTAAATAAAAATTTCCCTTTTTCCAGTATATAGTCTGACTTAGCATTAGGTAGGTAGAAAGAGAAGAATAAATAGGAGGCTGGAGCAACAGTGCCAGCAGTGAGTGGTACAGTTCAATGTGGTGAGCTGTAAGTCCACATTTTATTTTGCACTTAAGAACAATTTTAGAAAGACTCTTCTCCTGCTAGCCTTAGCTTGGTCGTGCTACAACTGGAACAAAGGTAGAGGGACTTCGGGGAGTTTCCAGACACTTCAGGGACTTTCTGGGCAGTTTGTATGTCAGTGGTACAAATACTTAACTCAAGGATTTTGTACAGTTGGAGGCCCAGTGGGTCCCTTTTAGAGAAGAGCATTTAGAAAGTACCTCACAGAACATGACATAAACTAACTAAACTTGGGTGTGAGATTTGGAATAATATTTCTGCCTTTTATTATAACACCTTATAACCTACACATCTTCGTATGGCTCACAAAAAATTTCTCACACACAAAACCTCATCCCACTTCGAGCTCTGCAGGCTAGATAAACAGGCGTCCTGCCCCACGCCATTCTGCTCAGTGTAAAGGAATGTGAGGTCATTAAAAACGTTCCACATGTTTTCCTCTTTCTTACTTTAACCCTTCTCTAGCAACTGGCAGTATGTTTGGATTCTTAACTTTCTTTGTCTTTATTACTAAGACCATTTTAAAGCCTTCACAAGTAGAAGAGACATTTCTAGGGTTTTCACACAACTTAGTTACTAAGAAAACCATTTCCTTAAAGTCTCTTGGTTTCCAGACGTGGGGGCCACAGAATGGGACAGTGATAACTCTTTCACGTGAATACACATAAGAAAATTTAACTGAGAAGGTGAATTTTGCTCAGTTTTGGAGAGGGGCTTGGTGAGCATTTTGTGGTTCTCTGAGATCTCACAATTCTCTCATTTGTACTCAAGCTACCTTTCCATTTCCTAGGGATTTTGTTGTGTTAGAGACTAATGAAGTTTTCCTTCTTTAAGAAGTAGCATCCTTTGACTCACAAAGGTTGAACAAAAAAGTTAGACACAAAGAGGCATATAGTGTATGACTCCAAAGTTCGAGGACAGGCAGAACTAATCTACGGTGTAAGGACGCAGGAGTGTTGCCCTTGGTGGGGAGTGATGGGGGCCAGGTGGGGGCACAAACGGGGCTTCTGGGTCCTGGTCTGGATCTGTTTCTTGAGCAGGAGGCAGAATTCCTGACCCATGGAAACAAATCAGTGCGCTGGTATTTAAGATGTACTTTCCCCTCAAATAATGAACATTTAAAATAACACTCCACTTCACACACATTAAAGTACAGTAAGTTTTGAAACTGGGGCACATGTTACTAATTTTCCACCAAAGCGCCCATGGCCGAGGAAAGTTAATGTGGACCTCCAGGCGTCCAGGGCACCGGCTCCAAGTGTGAAATGCCTCTAGGTTTCATATTTGGTTCTTAAAATTTCATAAAAACTTTACAATCTCTTTCAGATTTATCTGCATTTGTTTGAATGTGAAGAACAATGTTTTAAATTACTTACTAGTTAAGATTCAAACCATTGTTTCCCGTATTCAGACAAACCCTAATTAAATCTTTGAGTAAAGTGAACCCTCTGGGAAGACAGCCTCCGTGTGTGCTGCGGGGCTCGGAGCCTCTGAGTCTGAGGAGGCTGACTGATGGTTTTCTGAACCTGCCACATGCATTATCGGATGGTGAAATGGAGAGAGTATAAGATGGTCGATGAGGAGACATGGACTTTAGTCGTGACTCTGCCACCTCCAGCAGTATGATCTTGGACAAGTCACTTCACCTCTTGGGGCCTCAATTTCTTCATTTAGAATCTGGACAAAATCATGAGTGCCCAACAGGTGGCTGTCCTGTGGGTTCAAACACAGAATTATGTGCCACTTTGCTGCTGACACTTTTCGAAGAAAGCTGGGTCCACTTACTTGGTTCTCTGATGGAGAACTTCTGGTGGCGTGAGCTACAGAGAAGAGGCCGTCAACACATGCCGGCCGTGGGGCGTTGTGTGTGTGTTAACTTTAACGTCTCGAACAAAACTCTCTGCTTCGACTGTAGCCTGTCCAGAACAACCGCCTGTCATAAACCTGCTATTTCTTTGTGCCTCTGTTACCTGGTATGTTTAAGCAATGAAACAGCTGCTGCATTTCAATAGACAAAGGCTTACAGTATGTCTGAGGCAAGGCATTTATTGCTGGCTTTAAACTTCTTAAACAATTCCATATGGAGACTTGAGTGGCAGAACACTTAATGTAAACTTTCAAAGGAAACTGCCCACCAAATTCTGAACTTCATGAAAGTTGGCCGAAACGTATTCTTTTTCGGTAGGCAGAGTAGCCATTCCCATTTCCAAGAGGAAAGGCCACAGCTCCGCTTTCAATAGTGACAGTCGACAAACAGAGGACCCAGCTTGAGGCACTGATGAGTTCCGGGGGAATTAACTAGCTTTCGCTCCCGCAGTCATTTACAGACACAGCAGGGTTAAGAGGATGGAATTCAGAATGAGGAGTCGGAGTATTTGTTTTCTTGCTGTGATTCTATGATTAATTCTCTCACTTGAAGATCTCGTCACGTTAAACCAAGTTAAAAAATCGACACATGTGCATGCCACAGTGCTGGGTGTTCACTGTGTTTCTGTTCCTTGTACGCAATAGGCTGCTTTCGGAAAGAATGAAAAAGGCTCAGATGTTCCGTACCATAAGACGGCACGAGAACATGAGTACGTCTGAAAAAAGGGATTTGTATTTTGAAGTATACAGAATTATTTGTAGAAATGTAAAATATATATTGCATATATAAAATGAAACATTTTTACAGATGCAGTAAGAAAGCAGGAAAAAAAATAATACTCAGAGAAAAGCAATCACCCTAGACACGTAAAACTACTTTCTGGTAGATCGGAAAAGTTAAATTTAAATAATGGTAACCATAATTTCTTAAGAATCCAGCATGACATGATGTTTTTGCTTTCTCCATAGTCCTGTTCATCTCTGCTTTGAGGTTTGACCCTGGAGATCAAGTCTCACTTGAAGCCTCCTTTCTCATGACTCTTCTGTGAGATCTCCCCTCAAGACAACTAGCAGAACCTCACTTCCATGGCGAATCCTCTGTAGATGGGGGTTTAGCCAATTCATAAAGCAAGTGAGCACAGCGGTGAGGGGAGAGGGCGATTACCCTCGTGTTCCTTTGTGTGTGTGTCTTCCTTGAGAAGGTGAAAGTAGGATAAATCTGCAATAGGGTTCTTTTTTTTCCTTCCCTTTAACTAATTTATGTCAAGCCAGTCCTCACAGCTATAGACAGGAAGTGCTATTTCCTGTGCGGATGATTTAATATCGTACAGAGCAGAGAAGCGTTTGAACTGATGGCAGCACTAATGACTCTCGGTAAAACAGTGAAAAGATAAATGATACTTAATCAGGAAAATGTTTAAATAAGCAAGTGCCTGGATCCCACTGCAAAACAACCTGAACTCATTTAAGTCAAGTTAAGAGGGTAATTTTAGAAATACACAGACTGTTTGTTTAGTACTTTATATTTTTCAAAATGGCATCTAGCCACATTTATTAAGTTCTCTGACAATTCTGTAGGGCAGCTCAGGGTTCTTACTGCAGTTTTAAAACTGATTTCAACTCAGAGGGGCCAAATGATTTGCTTCAGGTCAGGCCATTGATCAGGCTTAAAAATACAATTTATAGTTTCCAATGTATTTCCAATACGTTGTTTACCTGCTGCTGATACTTCAAAGCATCCTACTAATCTTATTTGAATAAACAAAATGTATACAAAGATAGAGTTAAAAACAAGATTGCTCACGTGACTGTTGGTGGCTTGTTAAAGTCAAGAAACCAGCAGATCCTGAACCACAAATAGACGGGCATATTTAGAAATAGAATTTTGAAAGGAATCTTTTTTTTTTAATTGAAGTATAGTCAGTTACAATGTGTCAATTTCTGGTATGTAGCATAATGTCACAGTTATGCATATACATACATATATTCATTTAAATTAAAGGTTATTACAAGATATAGAATATAGTTCCCTGTGCTATACAGAAGATATTTGGGTTTTTTAAATCTATTTTTATATATAGTGGCTAACATTTGCAATTCTCAAACTCCTAAATTTATCCACTCCCACCCCCATTCCCTCGGTAACCATAAGATCATTTACTATGTCTGTTTCTGTTTTATAAATGAGTTCATTAGTGTCCTCTTTTTTCTTTTTCAAAATTCCAAATATGAGTGATATCATATGGCATTTTTCTTTCTCTTTTTTGTGGCTTACTTCATTTAGAATGATGATCTCCAGGTCCATCCATGTTGCTGCAAATGGCATTATTTTATTCTTTTTTATGGCTGAGTAGTATTCCATTGTATAAATATACCATAACTTCTTTATCCAGTCATCTGTCAATGGACATTTATGTTGCTTCCATGTCTTGGCTATTGTATATAGTGCTGCTATGAGTATTGGGGTGCACGTATCTTTTTGAATTAGAGTTCCCTCCAGATATAAGCCCAGGAGTAGGATTGCTGGATCATATGGTAAGTCTATTTTTAGTTTTTTGAGGACTCTCTATACTGTTTCCCATAATGGCTATACCAGAAAGGAATCTTAAAATATGGATAATGGCTATTTATAGTTCTTAAGTAGGTAGCCATATTAGTCTCTTAAATTGCATTTTTCATTGTAGTGTCATATACATTATCTTCAGGAACAAATCCCTAAGCCAGATGCCTATTCTATAATTAGTATTTTACATATGGAGGTAATAGATATAATAAATTTAAGTGATTTGTCCTAAGTTAACAGAGTCTGTAGCAGAACCAGGGTAGAATCCAGGTTTCACCTGAATTCTAGTGTGGGGGTCTTTTCAGTACTTTACCACCTAATTTTTATTTGTTATAAACAAATGTTTATAATATATCATTGACTGAAATAAAAAGGTGTCCTTAGAAGATAACCAGTAATAAAACTGTTGGTGTCTCACTTTTCAAGAGTCAGAAAAGCTTGCTATAAAACACCCCATTATAACCTACCTTATCTAAAAAATACGTTCTCAAATAAATTGTGATATTATTTGTACTTTAACAAAGGAGCTACCAAAAGAACCAAACCAGACCATGTAATTTAAGTACCCTATCCTGACTGCTATAAAGATGACCATGAAAAGGGAGAGATTCTACGCAATATAGGTCAACTGGTGGCTAGTCGAGCAGGAACTTTGAGCTCTGTGGCTCTACCATCTTTACCTTAGAAAAGAAAAGGTGACTGACTTTGTATCCAAGGGAAAAGGGC